ATGCGTATGGCTCGTCGTCCTGCTCCCCTCCCCCTCCACCCAATTAGAAATACGCGGCTCAGTGCCCTGAGCCTTGTGAGGAGAGGGGCCAAAAGCCGATGCCTCCAGGCCAATGTGCTCCTTCCGATGTGGTATACAGCTCCCAATTTAAAGCCATGAGTGAGAAAAAATCTACATTTTAAATTTGGTGCATACATTCTATTTAAGTTCTATTATCCACCCAGTGTGATATCTGCCTGTATGTCTCTCTCTCTCACACACGTACATATCGCCAGGAGGACTGTCGTACATGACGATCTTCTAGAGAAATCCGAAGCAAGGCATGGAAGGAGCCCACCCCCACCGCCCCGCTGCAGAAGCGCTTGTTCTTTCTTCTTCCAGCTCTGTCCGCAATCCAGCGGCTGAGCACCGCTCTGCCCTGTGGTGCCAGGCCCTTTCCCGCCCCCTCTCCCTCTGCCCCGCGGAGCTGCGCTGTGTCAGCGACGGCTCTGGAATGTGCTGCAGCATCAGGACAGGCTGCTGGGCATAGTGTCTCTTCTTCAAAACACAGCCCCTTCACCACTCTACTCAACCCGCAGGCGTGTTCTGAAGGAACAAAGGAGGATGTGACGAGGAGGCGGTGGAGTCAGCTTGACCAGCCATCCTTCCGTCTCCCGAGAGGAGTCAAGATGCTTGAACTCTCCTTCAGCCCTGGGGTATACTGCAACTTAACACTGCAGAACAACAAAGCCCCCTCAGATGATACCGTGTGCCGGGCTCCCGTTTCTTCACTCAGGCTTACAAACCAGGAGCGGACGGAAGGAGTGACGGGGTTGCAGGTGGCCGGCCATGGACACGGGGTCCGCCTGGAGTCGACTTGGCCCGTGTAATCCTAAAGGAGCGTGTTGCCCTCTGGGAAGCAGATGTCCACTTTTCCAGGCCCAAGTCTTTTGAGCAGCAGTTTATCAGTGTCCTGACTATGCCTTTTAAAGAGAGTAATTGCTCGAGATTTTCAATGTAGTATAAAGAAGAACATGAAGGGTCAGATATTTTTTACAAAACCATTTTAAGAGTGATCCCTGTTTGAAATACCGAGTGATGGGGCACCTGGATGGCTCAGTCGTTAAGTGTCTGCCTTCAGCTCAGATCATGATCCCAGGGTCCTGGAATCGAGCCCCGCATCAGGCTCCCTGCTCGGCGGGAAGCCTGCTTCTCCCTCTCCCACTCCCCCTGCTTGTGTTCCCGCTCTCGCTGTGTCTCTGTCAAATAAATAAATAAAATCTTAAAAAAAAAAAATACCGAGTGATATGAATGAATCAACTTTCTTAAAGTTTACATTTTGGCAACCCTGGCGGTGGTACTCAGGAGCGGCTACTCACACGTGCCAAGTGAGGCCAAAAGTAGCTGTGCCCCACGTCTTCCAGAAATATCCAGGTAATTAAGTGAACGAATAAATGAGTGAATAAGAACACTGGACAAAATGGTTTCTACCTGGTCAGTTGACAAGAGCCGCTTTGGTGACGCACTTTAAAAATTACCCCCATGCCCAGAGGTCGTGTGGTACTGCCTCTGAAGGACAGTTTCAGTGCAAGGCCGGGTTGGCAAAGGGTCTGAATAATAAGACATGGACCAATAAACTTGGTCCGAGGAGATTTCAAGGGAGAGAAGATGGCTTATTCAGCACAGTCAGGTGCTCCTCTAATCAAAATCATTTTATAAATATTTAAAATAGGACTCGTTCTACGACCTCATCCTGGGCGACCCAGAAAAATACCAGTTTGGTTTTTCTATCTTTAGACCAATTCTCCAGCCATGCCCACAGGGCCCCCTATTCCAACAGCAACTCACTGAGGAAAAGCAGGTGGCGGGGTTTTGTTGACCTCCTCACTTTAAAGCATCTTCTCGAAGAATGAGAAGAGCTGACTTCTACCCTCTTGCTGACTAATGCGTGGCACCAGGTCGGGGCTCGGTGAACAGACTGTGGACGTGACCGTGTGAGAGCATGGTGGTGGCCGGAGGAGGGGGCAGGACAGAGTTTATCTTTGTCAAACTCATGACTGAAGAGAAATCAGTTATTTTTGCTAATAATCAAGACTGCCGTGTTTTCAATGGCAGGGGACCCGATTCCCGATTCTGTTACTTAGAATCTTCATCAATCGGGGCTGAGTCACCTACCCTTCCTGGGTCTTAGCTTCCTCACCTATCAAATGGGAGAACTACTTGCCTTGTACACCCCATCAAATGATGCACAGGACAGTGCAAATGAGAACACTCAGTGAAGGTTTGTCAGGACCCCCCTCCCCTTTAATCTGCTCTCCCCAGCCTGCCCCTCATGCTCTGGGGTCCTCCTCACAAAGTAGGAGCTGCTGACCATCCTTCTGCTCCGGCAACGAACAGCGCCAAATATCGGGGGTCAGGTATCTCCTGAAGCGGACCACCCTCACTGAAGGGGAGACCCTCCAATCCCCTTTCCATTCTGAAATCCCTGTGGTCCTTGCCTCGCACTTGCCCTTGAATCAGCTGCCCCTCTGTGCTCTGGATCCTGCCAGCCTACCTCTGAGGCTCCAGCTCTCCCACCCACCTCGCTGGAATTCGCAATTTCACCCTCTCTCCTATTTATCTACACCCTTTAGACCTCTGACCTCTATTTCCTCAAGCTATTTTCCCTTTGAACATCCACAGTACTCTGCTGGTTTTTATGGGGCTGGTATTCCATTTTGTGTTATGATTTGTACAAGTCGTATCTCGCTTATTACCCTGCAAACCTCCTGAGGACAGAGACTGTCTACCTTATTTATGTAACACCTGCAGTGCCTAGCATAGTATCTCACGCTGGCGGGGCCAATAAATATTTACTGTGTTACACTTTATGATAATTCTGATTTTTAAGAACGAGTAATCATATTTCCTCCCCGTTCTTCTCTCACTCCAAAAGGTAGTCACAATAACATGAATACGTTATACAATGGTTTATAAATAAAACAGCTACGGGTTTCTGTGTGATCCTACTCAGGCTCAAATACGCTTTCCTATCTTCTTGGGTCTTGAAACATTTTTTTAAGGCCAACAGTCATTTGATCTCTCCAGAAAACATGATTATCTCTTTCTTTGAGTTTCCTGTCACAACCGGACAGCTGGAAGCCTTCACGATAACTCTCTGGCCTCAATCTGCAGCTTCCTGCGTTCGGTGTAATGTCTCAGGCAGGTCGCTGCATTTTCCAGTTTATGAAGCTCCGGTCCTCAGCAGCCCACCGTCACTTACTGGTGCTTGTCCCTCACATGAGTGCCTGCCCATTGGCTCGTTCCCTGCCCTCCCCTCTGTCTCAGCTGATTTACAATGAGGTCCTTACATGCTGCCAAGAATTTCAGTTCGGTGTCTTTCCGGGGCTTTGGGGACCACTGGGGAAGCAGTCTGCGCTCTGGCCTGGCGCAGTGCTCGGCCCTGGCAGCCGTCTGATTGGTGGAGAGATCGCTTTCTCATCCTCCCTTTTCCTCAGACATGCTGTTCAGTTCTCTCCTGAGCACATACGTTGAGGCTCTGTGTCAATTCAAACCTCGTACTTCAAAAACGATAATCCAATCTAGTTGATTGTCAGATTTTTAAATTGCTTTTTCTTTTTCCCAGTTGTAGCAAAGGGCTGTGGGGGCTGCTCAGCCCGTTTTATGGCCCATGCTACAAACATGGGGACAGGCTGCCCTGGGCTGGGAGAAGCCTTTCTCTTTGTGATGGGACCACCTGAGCCCATGATATTCCTGGGCTGGGGGGCATGAGATGCGGGGGAGGACGGAGTATTGACTCAACATGGGGTTATTATCAAAAAAGGGACTGACACCAGTCTCAGAAGGGCTCTACTACATTCTTTTCTGAGACACAGTGAAGACCAGGCTGAGACACTAAACAGGGAAAGAGGACACTGGAATGAGACATATACTAGCTCTCTCATGAAAAAGAAAGCAAAATACTGAGTTTATTCTAAAGATGGGAAGGGGACAGCCTGCAGGGATAGCTATAGCGAGAGTGTTTTAATTAGCCTATCTGTACACTTGCTAATGATTTCAGGTGTGAGAATTTATTATTTCATCAAGAAAATTTGTGATTACTAATTGGTGACATTGTATCCAATCAGGAATTAGTAATTGGGGCCTGTGAACGTTAAGCTTCGCCTCAGGTCCCGGTACACGTGCTGGCTGCCAGAGATGGGCTCAGCAGTGGCCGGCCTCCCCCTTCCCTGACTCTTGGTCCCAATGGCAGCTGGGGTTGTGAGGCTTTGGGATCTACAAGGCCCCGGGGCCCCTGGGGCTGCAAAAGGCCAGGGGACTGACTGTTCCAGAGGGGCCTGGTCCAGGGGCTCAGCAGGTAGCCCAAGTACAAACCGCACTCCGTTGAAGTCTGGCTGGAGAATGTAGGAAAAGAGGCCTTGGCGCCAGGGTTAATAGTCTTGCAAATGTAATAAATATTCCTTTCCCCTTCCCAGGAAGCACACACAGAGTAAAATGAGTTCTTACTACTTTGGAATAAACAGTAATGCTCTCTGGGTGAAGAGCCAACTGGCAGTTTGAAAGATTGGGTTAATCAGACACAGAAATTTCTGATTAATTGGACAATTATTTTGAATTCTGAGAGAGCCAAGGCGATGCTAGAAAAATATCCTGACCAACTGGGAATAAATTCAACCGCCCAGGGTAGAGATTTTTACGCTTACAGGAGTTGACATACACTGGCACTGTGTATAATCGGTCTCAAGTCCCCCGAATGTATAGGGCCTATAACTATTTTTCACTACCAAAGTGATTCACAATTCTTTTGGCATTGAACAAATATGGAAAATCTGTTGGACATTCCCTTGCAATCACTTTAGGACTCTAGGCCACGGCAAAACGCAAATGGAGGGGCCAGGCGACAGAGATCATCATGTCCGATGATGGAAAGGGGCCCAGATCCACAGAGCACTGTCTGTGTGAGCACACAGAGCACCCCGGTCCTGCTCCTTCCTGGAAGTCTCCAGGTGGCCCGGCCTCACCTGGTGGGGGCATGCTTCTGTTCCTCCTCCTCATCCGTGTCGCTGCTGATGGTGATGACGCTGACCGTGGGGCTGGGGGTGTCAGGAATGACAATCGTCTGCCGCTGCCGCTCCCTGGTGGTGCTGGAGGCCCCGTCGCCCCACCCGCACGTGACGGAGGAGCTGCAGGCCGGGCTGTTGTGCACCAGGGCGCAGCGGGGAGGCGTGTTCTCCTTGACGCGCTTGGACCGCTGAGGGGAGCTGATGGCCTGTGAGGAGGACACCTCACAGGTGGAGACGTTTCTGTAACGACAAAGCCACACACGCTCAGGGAGGCCCCGCAGCTCCTGCCAAGGAGCGCAACTGCCTAGGGACACCAGCTTCGCCAAGTTAGAAGTTCAGGGCACTCAGATGTTTTCTGTAACTGCAAAAGTGGCTGCCTCTTGAGCTCATTCTTTCAGTGGCTTGCTACACATGTGGCGGCAGGGACCTGACCTTCTCTGGGCTCTGGTCTGGGGCCATGTGCCTGTTCCCAGCAGGAGAAAGGGGTTTGAGGAGAGGGAGAGGGCTTGTGCCCAAGGACTGGGCTGGTCCTTGGGGGCAGATGCAGTGCCCAGGGTCTCAAGGTTGTCTGCCCCACTGCAGCACCCCCCCCCACTGTCTTCAGGGTCAAGGCCTGACTTCCTAAACTCTGTCCTGTCATTCTCCAAATGTACATGGGTCTTGTCCTAAAGGGAGTTGAAAGAAATGTTATTTGTCACATAAAGCTTTGGTTTCCTTGCTAATGGCTGTTTTGCAACTTATGAAACTAAAACACTCATGTCTTTGATACCTGAGCCTCACAGGAAATTTACCAGTCTGTTTGAACTGTAATGAGAAAACGCGGGCAAAACGCAAGAGGAAAAGGTGTACTTAAATAGGGACCTTTTAATCTTGATTTTGATCGACTCAAAATTCCTTATCAAGTTAGCAAATGTATGAGGGGCCTGGGTGGCTCAGTCGGTTAAGTGTCTGCCTTCGGCTCAGGTCATGATCCCAGAGTCCTGGGATCGAGCCCTGCGTCAGGCATTCTGCTCAGCAGGGAGCCTGCTCCTCCTTCTCCCTCTGCCTGCCGCTCCCCTTGCTTGTCCTCTCTCCCTGTCAAATAAATAAAATCTTTAAAAAAAAATTAGCAAACGTAGTTTCTGCTAACTTACGGGAAAAACATACCTTATGTTTTCCCATCCCCCTCCCCACCTTTGCTGACCTTGGTTGTATCCATACAGCGAGAGCCCAATGAAATTTCTAAGAATCTTATATGTCCTTAGAGATTCTAGTACTTCCTAGCTAAAAGGAAGGCAGGAAGATGAAAATAATTCTGTAGATTTATTTAATTTTCTATACAGCTAGTGTCAGATGTGTTGCTTGTTCCTTTCTGGGGGCTGGCAATAAGTTTTACTGATAAGATTGTTCCACTGTTTGCACTTAGCATAAACCCATACATTTGTTATTGTTACTATGTTGCAATTTTGAGATTATGTTTTCACTACTTCAGCAGTTAAAATATCTTCACTTGGCATTGTTAAAAGAAAAGGGTGCCTGGCTGCACCACCCAACAAGGGAGAGCCTTCTGTTTTGCTTAAGGCATTGGTCTTAAAAATAGGCAAATACAAAACTTTCAGTATAATTATATTGATCTTGAAGTGTACTGGCAATGAGCCTTCATAAAGCCAGCTGGGTGGTGAGTGGGCAACAGGGAGGGACCTGTCAACAGGTTGGGAGGCTAAGAGTTCTTACTGTCCCTACTTGACAAGGTGAGCCATGAGGATGCTAAGCTCAGCCCAGGGTCAGACTGGTATTCTGTGTGACCACCCACACGGCTGGGCATGATAGAGCAAAGGGTTGAGATGGTGGCCTCTGTTGCCAGCCAATCTAATAATGACAAGGCTGTGTTGTCACAGGGCTGCCACAAATCTGAGATGAATGTCCCAGAGTTGTCAGAAACACCCAAATAAGGAATCTTGAAGAAGAACGACAACTCGAAGGAAGTCAGCTCCTGGGTTAATCTTCAAAGGAGAATGAAAAAAAGGCAAGCCTAATTTTTGGCACCTGGTTAAATGAGGAAGTAGGAAACCAAAAGTCACTAGACATTTTACGTACTGGATTTTTGGTCTTGATTAACCTATTCCAATAAGCAAGTAAGTGCCTCCAAGTCAGGGACTCTGGAGAAAAATGCAGGAGCAATTCTGCAGCCACAGGATCTTGATCTCAATTTTTTTTTTTTTTTAATTTGGAGATCTCTTATCTTTTTAAAACACACGTTTATTGAGGTATAATTTACATACAGTAAAAGTCACCCTTTGGAAGTGTTTGATGAGTTTTGAGAGTTGTACACGTAGCCCCTGGCAATCCGGAGAATTTTTCATCACCCTGGAAAGTTCCCTCATGCTCCTTACCTGTCAGTCCCCTCCCCTCCCCCCCAATAGTCCCTGGCAACTCCTGATCTAGTTTTGCCTTTTCCAAAATGCCATCTAAATGGGATCATGCAGTATGTGGCCTTTTCTGTCTTGTTTTTAAGAGTTCACGGAAGTGAGTTAGATTTCTGACCGTAGATTTCAAAGAAAGCACATTTCTCTACCATTTTTAAAAAAACATTATTATGATTTCCAAAGTGCAACTTCAGAGGCGAGTCTGAGTGTTTTACACAGAAGTGAAAGGGCACGAATGGCTTCAGACCCAGGCACTAGACACCGGAATTCCAGGCCCTTCCCGGTGGGGTGCGGGCAGGGCAGGGAGGACGGAAAGACAAGCGGCGGGGAAGAGAAGTGAGAGTGAGTGCACCCTTCACACCCTAGCACTAGGCAGTGGCACGACACATTCAGCAAACATTCTGCTGGCCACTCCCTGTTCCATGCCCGGAACTCAGAGCACATGCTGACACTCCCTAACGCTAAGGGGTTTCTCTAACTTCCGGTCTTCTGAGGTTTCTCTCCACGCGGGCGACTCTCACCACCTACCTCGCAGAGGACTGGTGCTGCTTACTCTTCCGGGAGGAAGTGGTGCTGGTTGGCTGCTGCCGCATCACGTGGGCCACGCCCACATTTAAGGGCTGGGCTGCTGGAAGGGTCACATGACCAGTCAGTAGCGCAGGCTGCTGCATGATAGGATTGTAATGGCTGCCGTGAGCGTGGGTGTTCCTGAATGGAGATGGGGAAACAAGGCTCTTTGTTGGTTTTATAAATATGGAGCTTCTTTTTTAAGATAAAGGTTCCTCCCCAATTAAAAGCCAAATTTAAAAAGTTGGTTCTCAAGAGCTCATGGGGTTGTTGAAGAGATGAGCTCATCAGATAAGCCTCCCAGGTGCGATGAAGTTTAAGTGCTGTTCTGAAGGAGTGGGCACGAACACATTTGTCGGTGAGTGAGAAAGAGGACGTTGCAAGAATGGGAAGAATGGCAAGTTACAAGTTCAGCTTAAGTTCTGGGGAGAGGAGGTAAATATTCCCTCTGCCTTTTAAGACCCCCAAACAGGGGACTGTGCGTGCATTTTAATGGGTTATTGCACTCCGTGAGGTAGGATATCGTAGCATTATAAATGAGAAATTTGTAGCTTATGTTAAAAAGAAGAAAAAAAAGCGTTGAAAACTAGTTGTATGTTCCTGCTGTTTGGAAATGTTAACATACTTCTGAATTCTCTCCGTGGCTAGCACAACGCTCAGGCATGTACCAGCTGATCAATTAATTACATGCTTGTTGAATGAACAATTAGATTAACTGAAGGTTGACTAGATGTGTGTAGGATTAATAAGAGTCAGACACATCTTGATAGAAGTACTATTGGCAGCCATTTTCCTGAAAGTGGGTTATCTTTCAAGGGTTCTTATGATCTGGGTTGTGTGGCGTTCAAAGGCTTGTTTTCCCACAGATTTATTAAAAGTGATTAATCCAGGGACTTGCCCATAAAAGCCCATTTAGCACCTAATAAAATTAGAATTTATCTGCATTTTAAAAATATAAAAATCATCTTTGCAACTTGGGGAAAAGGATGAATGCAAAAAAAAAGTAGACAGACACTTTTGTAGCGATTTTGATAGCATTTTTTGACATTTACATTTAGAAACTGATGTTATGGCTTCTTGACTTTTTAGCTGCTGTTTCTTCCATAGATGTGGCATTCTTTTGATACAAGTCTAGCATCAGTACTTCTCTTTTGTTTGTTAGCCATGATTATGGATGTTCTTTGGCCCACACATGAAATGGAGAAGAGACTGGAAAGAAAGTGTCAGCTTTAAGTGTTTTCTGTGGTAACCAGGTAAGAGCTGAGGAGGGAGGAGGCAAAGGAAAATCTGTATGAGTGAGTATGTGAGTTTTGCTGAAATTAAATGAGCTGTAAATGCTGAAAGAGACAGGAAAAAAGTAGTATAGCATATATGTGTGGTCTTTTAAGAGAAAAAGGGAGGAGAAAAAACCAATTGGTCAGACAGCTTTTCCACTTGGTTGCTGTTCCTAATGAGCTGGAGAGGGAAGGCAGTCTCCCAGAGCATGAGCCAGCGTGAATGGGGGGGGGGGGGGGGAGGAGGGAAGATAACAGATTTATTTATTGCCTGTCATGTACCAGGTGCTAGTATAATACATGATAAATACAGGTCAAGTGCTTTGTATTTTATCTTAATTTAAACCTCCCAGCAATTCTATGAGGTAGGCATTTTTATCCCTACTTTACTGAAGAAGAAACTGAGGCTCGTAACGGTTAGGTAACTTGCCCCAGGTCATGAAGAACCAGAATTGAATCCACTGCTTTGAAAGTGTTTCCAGTGAGTGGGGGTGGACTTGGTGGGTGTTGTCAGTGGGAAATGAGTAGGGCTGCAGGAAAGAGCCTGTGTCCTCTCTCGTTTCTACGAGTCAGAAAATTAAATGGAGGAATAGAGGAAGCTGCATTTGAGGCTTGCCGGGAGGCTTCTATCTCCACCCCTCTTTGTTGTACTGAGAGCTCTTCATTCACAATAGCCTTTTAGATCAGGAAAGGAACTTAAGGGAGGCTCTATGGTTGGTATGGAGACTGTCAGAAGGTAGAGAGGGATGCCCTGATGTTTGGGCTGACAAAGCCGGGAGGAATATGGGAAGCTGGACACAACTTGCGGATTGTCATTTGGCTCTGCCCCTGGTGAGGGGCACTGTGGTGGTGTTGGGATGGAGTGGGCGGAGAGTACAAGGAAAAGTGGAAAGTGGCCATAAAAACAACAGAGCAAGGTGTTGGTGAGAAAGGCAGTGAGTAGGACTAGTGGGGTGCTGGAAACAGATACAGGGGGTACGGTGTGCCGGTGGCTGTCAGCGGTGGGCCTCTGGGGTCTGTGGAAAATGGACTTTGATCTAGCAGATATGACTATTAACTGAAGAGACACATTCAGCAAACATGCCAGAGTTTACCAGTCCAAATAAAGCCCCATTCTGTCAAGCTCTCCCCTGGGAGGTCGGCTACAACTCCAATGTGCCCATGTCTCCAAACACCTTGAGAACACTTTCTAGAATTGCTTACGAGCCTCAGGGACTCCCTTCTGCATTCTTTCATTGCTGCCACATCTTTGTTTTCCGGGAGTGGAATTTAATTCTGAGAAACAAACCAAAACTCATCTGCAGGCAAGTCCGTGAATTATATGGGTGATTAAATGATGTAATTGAATTTGGGGTCGACAATGGCAACTGACCATAAGGTAATGAAAGCTGATTTTCTTTTTTTTTTTTTTTAAACATTATCAATTTAGAATTTATTTTAGTATATGCTTATAAATATATTCTTGGGTATTATAATTATCAATAATAAATTCTAATGTCAATGCATGTTAATAGCTCCTAAATTTTGCTATTACAAATTATATATTATTATTTTAAAAAAATTTTTAAAATATAATGCATTATTTGTTTCAGGGGTACAGGTCTGTGATTCATCAGTCTTACACAATTCACAGTGCTCACCATAGCACATACCCTCCCCAGTGTCCAGCACCCAGGAAAGCTGATTTTCTTATGTCCTGGTACATTTATTTAAAAATGAATTCTCATTACACCGCAGTCATATTCCACATAATCTTCCTTTAATTTAAAAAGTTCTTTCTAGGGCGCCTGGGTGGCTCAGTTGGTTAAGCGACTGCCTTCGGCTCGGGTCATGATCCTGGAGTCCCAGGATCGAGTCCTGCATCCGGCTCCCTGCTCAGCGGGGAGTCTGCTTCTCCCTCTGACCCTCCCCCCTCTCATGTGCTTGCTCTCTCTCATTCTCTCTCTCTCAAATAAATAAATAAAATCTTTTAAAAAAAAAAAAGTTCTTTCTAAACCACGGAATTGACAGCACAGGCCCACCCAGCAGCTCTCTGGGTGAGTAGTAGACACGCCTCCCGTCCCAGACACACCTCCTTTCCTACTTACCTCCAGTCGGCCAACTGCTGGGTGCCTGCCATGGTCTCGGGAATGACAGTCGCGTGCTGCACGGACGTGTGGGTGGCCACTCCGGTCAGTTGCTGCCATGCCGGGGGAAGCAGGATTTGCTGGGTCCCACTAGGCCAGGCCTGCTGTAGAACAGAGGACGCGTGCCATCAATATACTTGTTAATCACATAGTGATGAACATAGTCTGTCTACATGAGTCAACCCCTGATTCTGGGCCCGGGGCTCTGCTGGACCCTGTGATGGGTCTGCAAGTGGAGACCTGGTCTTTGGCCTCGAAAACTAAATTAAGGGGAGATAAATGAATATCGGTGACCTACACAGATGATAGTAAGTACATGGGCACAGAGTCATATGGAAGGGATTTATTTGTGTTGAAGAAATGATTTGTTTATAAATCTGCTCTAAGAACAATGCTCAAGGTTTCCCAAAGTTCACTTAGTGATTTGTTCTGGTACACAACTACGTGCAAGAGACCCGAGATAGAGGCATTGGGCCACACAAAGGTAACTCTGCCTGCAGGAAGTTTTCCATCTAATATCCTTTATTTTGCCTTTTGTTTATGAATTAGAATCTAAACCTCCAACTTGTGTTATCTTCTGAATCTAAAGTAACATAATTCTGAGATCACCAGATACTTGCCCACATCTGAGAGCAAGCAAGCATGAAGTAAAATTCTTAGCTGGGACCTTAAGCTTCATTGAGAATTACCCTGATTCATCAAAGCCAAAATGAGATGTAGTTAGAAAGTCACACTTGATTCTTTATAAATATTAAGCTTTTTCTAAGAACTCTAAAATGAACTTACTTTCCTGATTCTTCCTTAAATAGTCACTGGAGGGGGGAGGTGTTTGCATGGTGTTCTGAGCTTTCTATATCTTCAGTCATTATTCGGCTTGCTTTGATTATTAAATGATTCAGACTGAACACAGTTGTCCAAAGTTGGACACCTAAAGGAACACTGCTAAGGTAAAATACTTCTTGGGCAGGTCAAGAATTTAAAGATTCAGTTACATGTTGTTCTTTCCATTGGGCTGGATATCACTAACATTGGGTAATTTCTTTAATATAGTGGTCCACAAACTGCATCTTTAATATGTGTGTTTTGGCTCATCTGTACAAACAAGCACTTTTGGAAATGAATCACAAACTTGGTCAAAGCTTAACAAACAGTGATGTATACAGAATGATTCAGCCACATTTTAGATCTGAGTGGATGGTTCACCTGGTCCAACCTTTTCATGGTGCAGATAAGGCCAGTGAGGTCTCTCATACCTTTTTTACATTGCCTGTTTGCTTACTGATCTGTTTTGATACAGGCAAACAGCGTAGGGACCACAGTTTATACAGTAAGTGCTTAATAAATGTTTGTTGATAAAATGAAAGAAGCAGTTCTACCAAGGCAATTCATTATAGTTAACTATATTTCAAGTTTACTGAATTCAGACCCAGCAGAAAAATAATTTAATTGATTAAAACAATTACGAACTCAGAAAGTTAAATGAGTAATAGTTTTGTTGGCAGTAAGATTTATACTTACTTAGAGATATGGTAAAGGCTATTTTTTTTTAAAAGATTTTATTTATTTATTCATGAGAGAGAGAGAGAGAGGCAGAGGGAGAAGCAGGCTCCCAAGGAGCAGGGAGCCCGATGCGGGACTCGATCCCAGGACCCTGAGATCATGACCTGAGCCGAAGGCAGATGCTTAACCATCTGAGCCACCCAGGCGCCCGGTAAAGGCTATTTTTGACCCCTCTCACTGAATGACATGTTCAGCTCATGTAAGATGACACTTCACCCTTGTATAATTACTTGTATACATTTCTATAACTTATACTTTATTACTATTTTATAATTTATAAGATTAGAGCTAATACTTTTTAATTTATTTTTAAAAAGATTTTCTCTATTTATTTGAGAGAGAGAATGAGATAGAGAGAACATGAGAGCGGCTAGGGTCAGAGGGAGAAGCAGACTCCCTGCTGAACAGGGAGTCCGATGTGGAACTCGATCCCAGGACTCCAGGATCATGACCTGAGCCGAAGGCAGTCACTTAACCAACTGAGCCACCCAGGTGCCCAATACTTTTTTTTAAAAATTCTATTTATTCATTTGAGAGAGAAAATGAGAGAGAGCACGCACAAGCAGGGGAGGGGCAGAGAGAGAGGGAGAAGCAGGCTCCTGGCTGAACTGGGAGCCCAATGTGGGGCTCGATCCCAGGACTCTGGGATCATGACCTGAGCCGAAGGCACACGCTTAACTGACTGGCCACCCAGGCGCCCCTAGAGCTAATTCTTTCTTTCTTCTTTTTCAAAGATTTTATTTATTTATTTTGACAGAGAGAGAGAGACACACACACAGCAAGAGAGAGAACACAAGCAGGGGGAGTGGGGGAGGGAGAAGCAGGCTTCCCTCTGAGCAGGGAGCCCAATGTGGGGCTCGATCCCAGGACCCTGGGATCATGACCTGAGCCGAAGGCAGATGCTTAACGACTGAGCCACCCAGGCGCCCCTAGAGCTAATACTTCTTGATGCATACTGTGTGCCAAGCACAGAGCTAAGACCACAGATAGGTTTCTGACTTCATCTTTTTTTTGTTGTTACATTTATTTATTTATTTCTATCTATCTATTTCTATTTATTTATTTATTTATTTATTTAAGAGGACAGGAACAGGAGAGGGAAGCAGACTCCGCGCTGAGCGCAGAGCCAAACGTGGGGCTCGATCCCATGACCGTGAGATCATGACCTGAGCCAAAATCAAGAGTTGGACACTCAGCCAATGGAACCACCCAGGCACCTCAAGTTTCTGACTTCATCTTAACACCAGTTCTGTGAGGTAAGGACTGTTATTTCTCCACATTTCTCAGATGGATAAACTGAACTACCGAGAGGCTAAGTAACCTGCCCAGAAATGTAGTAAATTAAACATTTATTGCTCTCTTTCTCTAAACCCAACTGAAATGATTGCAAAGGAATAAAAAAACATAGAGATCCACAAGGACAAAGACAACAACAGTTGACAAAATCTTGGAAACTGGAAAATAGAAGGGTAATTACTGAGTTAGAAGACTGGGGAATCTAAGGTCAAGTCTGTGAGATTCCTTTACCTTTCAGTTTGCAGACCCGGGTATGTAGGCTTATACCCTCCCTTCCCACGCCCCACCAAAGTAGGAGGCTGGAGGATTCTCTCTAGGAAAACTGGCTAGTCCAAGAGAAAAAACTACAGATACATTTGAGGATCAGGGAATCTGCCAATGAAAATGCTGGGCTCACTCCTTATTGGACTAGAGAGAAGCCTGCATTCAATAGTCCTTTGCCTCCTATAGCTTTCAAATTAGTCTTTTAGTGCTTCAGTCTTAGATATGAATGAACAGCCAAGGATAACCAGAAGGGAGCTTCTAACATGAGTCTAAAACAAAAAAACTCAGAGGAAACAAAAACAGTGTAGAAATCAGAAGAAAATTTCCAAAAACTTAAACTGTCTTCACAGAGTTAAAAAGAATCATACACACACACACACACACACACGTATACATATATATGAAACAAGATCATATACAGGAATATATATCTACATGTCCATATCTATATAGAGAAATAAGAAAGAACCCTTAGAAATGAGAACTTTAACAGAAGTTAATTCCATAGATTTTTTAAAAAAAAATATTTTATTTATTCATTTGAGACCCAGAGATAGAGAGAGAGAGAGAGCATGAGCAGGGGGAAAGGCAGAGGGAGAGGGAGAAGCAGGCTCCCCGCCGAGCAGGGAGCCCGACGTGGGGCTCGATCCCAGGACCCCGGGATCATGACCTGAGCTGAAGGCAGACGCCCAGCCATCTGAGCCACCCAGGCGCTCCCATAGAAGATTTTTTTTTATGAAAGTTGAGAAAATCTTTTGGAAAGAAGTGCAGATAGAATATAAGAGGAACTGGGAAAGAAGATGAAAATCGGATTAATTCAGAAGCACTAACACCCAATTAAGAAGAATTTCACAAAGCGGAAACAAAAATGCTGGCTTTGGTAGCACATACACTAATACTGGAGCAATACAGAGAGGACTAGTGTGGCCCCTGCACAAGGATGACATGCACATTCATGAAGCGTTCCGTATTGAAAGAAAGAAGAAGAAAAAGAGAAAATGGAGGGGGGAAACTTAAAAAATAAAAGACACACTTTTAGACTACAAGGGCAAACAGTGTCCAAGACAATGTATGAAAAAAGACCCATGAGGAAGCGTATAGTCACGAAATTTCAGACCACCATGGACAAGGAGAGTCTTAAGAGAGGAAACTAACCCAATGAAGAAATGAAACCACCATTAACTCCAGGAAAAACAAGTTGCATAGGTAAGGAATAGAATCGCAATATATTATGAGGCTCAGCTGAGAAAAGTATATAATACTGAAGAAAATAATTATGTAAATAATGCAAAGTGGTTGAATAAGAAACTTCCATGGGAGGAATGGGAGAAAGGAAGAGAGTGAATGAGAGAGAGAGGGAGAGCACATGATTGGGCAGGTGCTGTGGGGATGGGGTGGGTTTGGGGGCTAAGTCTTCATCTTCCACAGTAAGATGGAAATTCCAAAATGGAAATATCAGTAAAAAGTAGTTTAAACATGTTATTTAGAAACTTGAAGTTAAATAACGAAACAAAACAGTTAAAAGTTATTTTGGGGGACTGGAAATTGGGGATGGGATAGAGCAGGAGACTACTATTTTCTTGTAAGTTCGTGGACTCATTTAACTTTAAAAATTAGGTACATGTGTTATTTTGAAAAAAAAATTAAATTCAAAAATAACTTCCCTAAAGTCATATAGCTGGTAAGTGGTGGGACTGGCCTCTGACCTGTAGGCAATCAAATCTCAGAGCCCATGCTCTTAGCCAGCATACTGCCTTTCTTTATGGAGAGGGTACACAGAAATGATGGCTCTATTGAGGATCAGGGACTCGTGGTAAATGCATAAAAGTAGCATGGAAAAGTTTTCCTTATTCATTAACAATTCAGGCACCAAGCAAGACAGAAGCAGAGAGCAAGACAGAAGCAGAGAGCAAGAGAGAAAGGTTGGACAGACTGGTTGCTGAAAATGTTACCAGAGGAGGTTTTAAGTGAGAAGTACTGACGTTTTGTATTTTAGACAGTTTAAGAAGTTCCAGCCAACTGTTTGTCCTTAGGGAAGCATTTAAAGGGATTCAGGTGATACGACTTGACTGGCTAGAAGAAGGCACCTTCTTCGTGAAAGGCTGCAGTCTTTCACGGATCTCCACATCTTGGCGGTGTGGGTGGGAGCTCGCTCTGAATTTCTATTCCAGCCTTCCTAGTCAAAGGGGGTTTTGGGCCCTGGCATTTGAAAAGTGAGATAAATTCAATACTGTCTCATTTGAGCACTGTATTTCCCACCTCTCTACCTTTACCCACTCATTCACAATTTCTGATGGTGGTTAAGGTGCTCTGGCTTGAGGCCTGGGAGGACAGAGGTGCCAATCCCCTCTGGGCAGTACCAACAAGTCTGTACTGGTAAGACAGTCTGTGAAGACCACTCCCAGACCAGGATACAAGAGGGTGTGATTTCACTCCAGCCTTCTGTGCACACACCCTTGGGGCACCCCAGAGAGACAGTTTCCCTTTGAAGGATGTGAGATGCTGCTGGAAGGTGGGGGAGGAAAAGGCAAAGCAAACAAACAGGAGGAATGGACTCAAAAGACTCTGTCTCTAAACTTCCACAAATACAATCCTTGGAAAGATTTAAATATTTGTAAAAAGAGTGATACCCACTCTTTGGATATACTTAAAGAATAATATTTGGAATGCCTCTCCCTGATACCTAGAAATTTACCCAGAGAAAAATGAAGGCACTAGTTTAAATGTTTAGTTATTGCTTTTTTATAGCCACCAAATTAGTTTTATAAGTTAGCTTACTTTCATCCTTTGAAGGCACCAGTTAAAAATATCTAGGAGAGAGCTCCACCTTTATAGGCTAACATACTGGCATGGATTAAGTGACAGAGAAAGAAAACAACCAATGGACAGAAAGACACACGGTGACACTGGATAGTGCAGGAGTTTTTTTTAACCTAATATAAGAAATCTTTGCATGTCAAGACACACTGGTCTACCGTGTCCTTTCTTTTTTTTTTTTTTTTTTAAGATTTTATTTGAGAGAGAGCATGAGCAAGAGAGCGAGTGTGAGCAGGCTGAAGGGCAGAGGGAGAAGCAGACTCCCCGCTGAGCGGGGAGCCCAACGCGGGGCTCGATCCCTGAATTCCGGGATCATGACCTGAGCCGAAGGCAGATGCTTAACCAACTGAGCCACCCAGGCACCCCTACCATGTCCTTTTTTAATGACTATATGGTGCTCCATTTTATGTACACACATCAATTTATTAACAAATCTACTGATGAACATTCAAATTGCTTCTAGTAGTTTCCTGTCATAAACACTGTAGTGACTGAACTCTTTGCGCACGTATTTTTTGTTCCCTATTCCAATTACAGCTTTAGGTTAAATCCACTTGGAGATTTACAGCACTCTAGGGACTCTTTCAAGTAGGCTAAGGTAAAGCTCTTCCCTGCTATGATTAAAGGACAAACAAATTCAGAAATGCTGAGCTGGTTTTCCCCAAAGTGAATAGTGAAGAATGTCTAGGTTAGCTAATAAGAATGCTAATTATTGTTTCTTTCAGAAATGATTTCTGGCTTGCCAGGGTTAAGTGGACAAACAAACAAAAAATCTGTAAGTATGTGTGAGTTCTCTAGGTTTTGGCCCACAGAGGAGCACTGGGAGGCTGGTCTGGATTTCTGCCAATCAGAGAAAGTATGAACAAGATAGTTGGCCCCTGGAGTGTGCTTGATCTTTCTTGGCCTTTTCCAAACTCCCTCCTACCAAACTATGTGAGCAAAAGGAAGCTATGAGGGGCCAGTGAGAGAGGTAGAAGTAGGCCTACTTTAAATATGGAAGGTTCTCTGTTTATAAACTTTCAGCAACACAACTTTGTGTGCCATCAGAAGCTGGTGTCAGTGGTCACTGCAATATCATTTTGGACTTCAGAACAGAGACGAAGAATGATAAATATCCACCTTAAATAAGTTGTTCCAGAACACAGAAGAAGAGGGTAATAATATCCAACATATTAATGAGACTGGGATGACCTCGATGCTCAAATTAGATAAGGATTCTATAAGCGAGAGAAATTAGAGGCCATTTCTCACTTCCGAACATAGATGCAAAAATACTAACCACAATATTTACAACCAATCCCGTATTGAAAAGCATAAATGCGTATCAAACACACGTGATCAAATAAAGCTCATCTCAGAAATACAAGGATAGTTTAACATTAAAAACCTGTTAATGTAATTTGTCACGTTAGCAGATGAATGAACAAAAAACACATGAGTATTTTAATAGATGCAGAAAGAACATGTGATATAACTCCATTAAAAAATTAGCAAGCTTGATGAAGTTTCTATCAAATATTGATAGCAAACAAAATATGGCAAACAGAAGAATTTCCTGTAAAGCTAGGTACCACTTAAGAATGTCCAGCGTCCACACTGTTGTTGTGAACATCGTTTTGAGGTGCTGGCAGCATAGTGGCATAAGGATTGTAAAGGAAGAAACAAAGCTAGTAAGAAGGTAGTCCCCATAAGAAATCCACAGGAATTCAGAGAAACAACCAGAACTACTCAGAGTTTAGAAGGACTGCCAGATAGGGGCACCTGGGTAGCTCCGGTCATGATCTCAGGGTCCTGGGATTGAGCCCCATGTCGGGCTCCCTGGTCAGCAGGGAGTTTACTTCTCCATGTCCCTCTGCCCCTCCCCCTGCTCGTGTGCACACATGCGCACACGCACTCTCTCTCAAATAAAAAAAAAAAATCTTAAAAAAAAAAAGGACTGCTAGATAACAAACTCAATAGACCAAATAGGTTTAGTCCTAGAAACCAAAAACAAGCAATTGGAAAAGAAAATTAATAAAATTATTAATAGCAACAAAACCTGCAAAATATTTAGGAATTATTCCAACAAAGGAAACCTTTAATGAATAGAGTAAAAGATAAATATACAGTTATGCTGTGTTTGTGCATGAAATGACTGAATACTGTAAGGATGTCAGCTTTTCCTCAGGTAAATATAAAATTTAACTCAAGTCCAGTAAATACACTCCAGGGCATTTTGTTTTGAAGCGATAATTGCTAATTGCTGTGTGACTCGGAGTCAGTGATTGTTTTGTTTGTAAGAGTTATGGTTAAATTCATATGGAAAGTGAAGGGACGAGGCTAGACAAGGAAATTTTGAAGAACTGGAAGGACGAAATGGGAACGGGGCTTTCCCTACCAGACAGCAAGACATGTGTTAGTTGTAACAGTGAAGACAGCGGAACATTAGAAAGGCCAACGGAGTAGAGAGCCCAAACAGACCTATGCAATTTCAGTACATTAAAAATAAAACCAAACACTTCTGTTCAACAGAAGATACCATCAATAAAGTGTCTGTAGGAGCACTTTGAAAAAAGGCTTTGGGAACCTACCTTATTTACAAATTAATGTGCTTCTAAATCAACAACATTTAGGTTAAGCTGTCCTTGCCACCCAGCAATGGAAACGATTCTGTAGAAGGGTTTGCGTCTGGTTCTGTCACCTGATTGCCATGGGACTCTGAGCCAGGGATTGTGCCTGTTTTCCCTATTTGTCACCTGGAGACAGATACCTTACTTATGGTGCTGTTGTAGGGATTAAATCAATTAACAACTATGAAGTGTCTGGCATAATGATGATATATTTGTTCAAGTGCCATTGAGGACTGATTACTGTTATCATTGCCTCACTCTGTTACCTTAAATTTCCACAACATTTTACACATTTTCAACCACTTTCACCTCTGTGTTCTCATTCTACCTTCGGAGTTACCTATGTGAACAGATAAGGAAGGTTCCAAATCACAGCTTCGGTGATCTGGTTTTTCAACTCCTTATGAAATAAGGAGATAATCTCCAAGGTTCCTTTTGGCTCTAAAAAAATCATTTCTCTTTTATAAGAAAGAAATTCGAGGCAAACAAATGTTAACAGACTTGCCTTAGGTCACAAAGTTATTAGCAGAATTAGGATTAAAACCTATGTCTCCCATATTAATTTGCATTATAAAGCTACAATAGTAATAATAATTTCCCCAGACTCTTCCTGTGTCTAAAGTTCTTTGTGGAATTATAAGCAAGATATGTAGGAAGGTGATTCACCTGGGGATCATTCAGAATATTACTGATCTATTCTAATGAGTCGCAGCACCTAACTCATTGCCAAGGAGGGAATTAGCGGGGATCTATCTCTTTTGTGAACAACACTAACACGGATAATGGCAATACCAGTAATGATAAAGAAAGAATTACCTGGGCAAGCAGACCTGGTTGGATCTGAAGAGGCTGCGCTCCCGGGGCTTGAGTGACGATAGGCACGGCATTCTCCATTCGCACGGAATAGCCAGCGTGCTTAGAAGGCGAGGCCTGCAACCCTATTCCAGACCCGGGCAAGGGAGAGAGGGGTTGTTGGAGGGTCAGAAACTGCTGGATGCGGAGAACCCTCCTGGCCAGCTGGTCAGGTCTCATCTCCCCTTCACTCCAGTCCCTGCTGGCTATCACCTGGTCCTTTGCAAGTCTCCCCTTTAGTTTCTAACTTAAAATTTTAAAAACCACAAAAAACCAACTTCGAACCTGTTCAGAGACTAGAAGGTCAAATTAAGGAGCGTGTAAAAGCCTAAAGTGGAACAGTTATACCGACAAATCACAGCAGAAAAATGGCTTCTAACATGAAAATACACTTGTGGTATGTCAAAGTCAGGGGTGTTGGGAAGAGCATCTGAATCCACTGGAATTGCACCAACTCTGAACCTGAGCAGCCACACAAAGGCTTACACCGTGGGGTTTGCGGAAACAAATACTTGAGCTTTCCGAATACACGGTAACCTCGTACACAGTCAACTCTGGCTTCTTAGAACTTTCAGGAGAAGAGTGTTGGGGTGTGTGGCTAAAGAATCATTTGGGGGACTGGCCTGGGAGGTACTTTTCAGGCAGATTTGTATTTTTCATGAGAACCGGAGACTGCATTGGCTGGCAGAGCGGCAACTCTCTACAGATAACCCGCTGGGAGGATATTTCATTGGAGGAAATGTAAGCTGACATCAGCCTAACAATAGGAGCACAAACAACACGCTCATTTCCAGACAGCTGGCCAGGGACAAAAACACCAGCAGGTGGGGAGAAAAACAACTTGGTGCTGAGGCTTAAGTCCTGTTGTTTCTAGGCTGGCCAGAGCAGGAGAGGGGTCCTCAAGTTCAGTGATGTGGGAAAACCACGGGTACCAGTGCCCCAGAGGTCGTCCGGTAAGAAGCAGGTGAGGGGCTGCGTCTGCTCATCCTTACCTTGGAAGCCGGGTGGACACACGATGAGAGCTTGCTGGAAGGGGTCGGGCCGGGCACAGATCTGGGCTGTTCCCGTCTGCAGGGGCATGCTCCGCTGGGCCACTGCGGCCATGGATGCCGCTGAGGGCTGGTAGAGTGCAGATTGGTAGTTTAGTATGGAGACTTCGGGATTGGCTAAGGAAAGAGTGGCACTGGTGGAGGTGGGAGCCTAAAGGAATGATGGGGATTAAACAAAAATAAACAAACATAAAAAATGAGGGAGGTGGTATGTTGGGAGCCACGAGTCTAAAGCAAATAAATGAACTCAAAAGAAGAGCAAACGAATAAAAACCAAGAGCAAAAAAGCAAAAACGGAGGGGAGTGGAGACACAGTTGAGTCTCAGGGAAAAGCAGGCACCTGCCGCCACAATAGAATCACCTTCGGTGCTCACACTAAGGCCAAGTCCTAGCATTTGTGGGGCCTGGATGAGAGGGCAAACGGAAGCTTGCATAATGTAGGTCTAAAAACAGCGAAGTTAAAAATCGGGCCAGAAACTATTTATGTTCTGCCCTTCCACTTTGGTAAATACACTTCACAACTACCTGGAAGGCCAGGTTTGAGTTTAAGACTCTTGGATTCCTTGGGTTCTGCACTGGAACATGGTGACGGGGCGGGGAATGGGAGGGCGGGGGAGGAGGCGAGAGCTGACCTCCTGTCTGCCTTCTCTTCCTGCCCCAGCTCCATCCCACAACTCAGGGGCTTTGGGTACACATATGCGGACCTGCCAGCCCACACGTCCAAGCTCTGTTTACACTCCTCTTCCCTTGGGCCTGGTGGCACAGTCCATACTCAGGAGGTTGAAGCCAGGAGGAGGCCTCTGCAGGCACAGGGGCCCAGGTACCCAGAGTTTGGCAAGGAAGCACACACACACGGAGGAAGGCTGAGGTAGGCCTTGGAAGGGGGCCCTTCTGCTCAGGCCTAAGGGGAGTACTGTTTACAGATCCCCTCGGATGGCTGCAGAGCCCACTACTGCAAATTAACACGTTATACCAAAGATAGCCAGGGAGAGGGACACACAGTCTGGGCTTTCTTGTTTGAGTTTGGGGCAATCGTACGCTGGCGTTCAGCTCCGAAGGCTGGAGGCCAGACAGGAGAGATGCCAGTGGGTCAGGAGAATTTTGAGAGGAGTTAAGTAACTCTGAAATTATGTCCTCTCTCCTGTCTCTCTTGGAAAGAGACATCATTTGAGAATGAGCTTCCCTGGGAAGCAAGGAAACTCAGTTCTGAATTGGGAATCCTCTGGCTTTGCCCCATTTAGCCTTCTTCACACTGATCCTGCACAAGATAGGGGGAGGGGGTCACCGTGTCTTCGAATTCAACGTTGTTTACAAGTTTTGCCGCTAGAGGTTCCGTGGACTGAAGGATAAGGAGGCAAGAGCCACAAGGGTATCTTGGACACATGTAGAAACAGGATTTTAAGAAAGTACGTATATATGTCAAATTTGATAAAAAGGATAAAATCTCATTTTACATGTTTTTTTTTAATACTTAGATTTTATGTTGAATTTATGTGCAAAGCAAATTAATTTGTTTGAAAGTAATCACTACATTACGTAGCATACATGTTTGGATTTTAAGATATGTATTGTCACAATAAGTGGCTGTTTTGGGCCTCCAGGTAGTGTGACTGGGAATGCATGTGTGATGCGCATGTGGGAGCATCTGTGTTTTGTTACTGATGACATGCGTTGTGTTTCCTCTCTGTTCTCTCTGGGGCCCCACCTGTCCTGGAGGCTCCTCCCCATACACATTTCCCTCCTTGGGGACCAATATCCTCCAGATTTCCACTCGGGTACTCGACCATTCCACCTCCTGCGGCTGCCTCCTTCAAATCATCCCTGGGACCTGACTCTTCAGTCGCTACCTCTTTAGCTGAGGGTCTCTCCCCTGGTGCTGGGCTCTGTTTAGTGAAGTTCTGGTCTTCACGCTCCCCCCTTCCAATTCTTCTTGGGGCTGAGGCTAGAACATTCTTTCCAAAAGACTACTTTGTGCCTGTCACCACCTCTGCCCCCAAATCTCCAATTACTGTCTAATGAACACTATATACGCACTTTGGTCTGGCATTCCTTTCCCACGGTTTGGCCAATTTTCCCTTCCAAATTTATCTCCCTCTGCTCTCTGTGCTCATGGCACCAGCCAGAGAGTCTGCTCACTGCTGGCGAGCATGCTGTGATGCAGGCCCTGCTGACTCACACGAATCTCTGGCGCACAGCATTCCCTCCAAGCCTCTGCGCTTCAAGGTCTCGCCTGGGTCCCCTCTGCTCCGCACTGAACCCCCAACACCATCAATTTAAACAAACTTCTCAGTTAGATTAACCCATCTGGAGGCACCCGCGTGGCTCAGGCGGTTAAGTGTCAGACTCTTGGTTTGGGCTCAGGTTGTGATCTTGGGGTTATGAGATAGAGCCCCACCCTCAGCGTGGAGTCTGCTTGTCCCTCTCTCTATGCTCCTTCCCCTGCTGACTCGTTTTCTCTCTCAAATAAAATCTTACAACAAACCCCCTTCTGCCAGCCGATGTGATGGGGTTCTGGTGATGAAGGACAAAACCATGGTGGTATTTTGTCAAGGAGCTCATTATGTCTGGCTTGGATACCTTAGCCTGAGCATTGGGCCTGGCCCTGGGAGGGACCGTTTGTTTCTTTGGACGCCAGGTCTTAGCATTAGCTCTTCCCCCTAAGGAGAGTCTTTTTTTTTTTTTTTTTTTAAGATTTATTATTTGACAGAGAGAGAGACAGCAGGGAGTGGGAGAGGGAGAAGCAGGCCTCCTGCTGAGCAGAGAGACTGATGCAGGGCTCAATCCCAGGCCCTGAGATCATGACCTGAGCTGAAGGCAGTCGCTTAACTGACTGAGCCACCCAGGCGCCCCCCCCAAGGAGAGTCTTAAGAAAATCAATGGCCCCTGGGGGTGGCAGATTCCATGTGGCCTCCCCTGGATACAGGCAGGGGGAAAGAGAGCAGGGAAGAAAAGCTCAGCGTCAGCAACTCTGTGCGCTGCAGGTCTGGCCTAGAGACCAGGGAGGTGGGGGAGGGGAGGAGGAGATGGGGGGTGCTGGTAGCTGAGGCCAGTGTCTCTTCAGTGCCAGGAAGGGACCTGTCAGAAGAGTGTGGAGGGCAAGGCGGAGGTATCTGTGTTTCAGGATTAGAACAGACACTCCTGTCCTCTGGAGCAGTGTGTGCAGACACACACAGGAGTGTTGTGACCACTGCAGATTTGATTGGAAGGCTGAAAAAAATATCTAGGGACAGTTAGTTCTTTGGGAAAGTGGGAAGACTGGAATTTGGGAATAAAAGTACAAGTCTCTTTCTTAGATACCAGAGGCAGCCTGGACTAGGATTTAGAGAGTATTCATTCAGTAAATGGTTCCTGGGTCTCATTCCTATTTTAAATAAGGCGTGAGGTGTGGGGTTCTACTAATTTTTTGTAAAAAGCTGGAAATGTGTGGGAAGAAAACCTTATTTTCCTGGTCCCTTCTGGTTCTGACTGCTCGGATTCTGGTGACAGACTGATGAACTGATTTTCCCTGTGACTTGGAGAAAGGACAGGTTTTATCTGTCCCGAGAGGAGATCATGTGGACCCAGCAGTGCAGGGACACGGGGACGGGGTCTGCCCTGCGTGACTGCCAGCGTCCTTCCTGCGCTCGAATTCTTTACCAGGCAGGTGCCAGACATAAATAAAAGCATTAGAGCGGGAGGTTTACATTATTCCCACATTGGGACAGAAGGAAACACTAAGGTGCCATCTCAGAAAAAGCATCCCAAGACAGTCCTTTCTGGAACCTTGCCATGGGACCAGCAGTCCGTACAGAGTGCCTAGGTCTCTCAAAGGAAGTAAGTTTGGAAGTAAACACTTTCTTACGTAGTAGAGGAATTTTGTGTATGATATTGTGTATGATACTGGAAGAATCTGATCTCCTGACTAGGTTTGGGGGGAAAATACAATTCTTGATGCTCACCGTCAGCCCTGCCCGCCTTCCCCTTTGCTCCCCATTCACCTGGTTGTGGACAGTGTTCAGCTGGTTGTTGAAGGTCATGGTCAGGTTGGTGGACGTACTGGGGGCCACATGTGTGATGAAAGGGGTTTTGCTCTGGTTCACCGTGTCATACATATTCACCCGACGCTTGCAAATCTCCATGTTCTGGAAACATGATTTGACGCTGTTCATGCAGAAGGCAGAGGCATGAGGGAAAGAGAGGAAGGTAATGTGGGATAAAGGGGAGAAAACAGACAGAATGGGAGAGAAATGTTAATGTAGTGAGACAACTGGGGAAACTTTAACTTTAGGTCTACTTTCCTGGATTTCTCATGCAAAGTCTGCATTTGCAAGAGTCACCTTTATTCAGATGAACCGCCCCCACTGCCTTACGCCCCGTCCCCCATCCAGGATGGCTAAAGGTTCTCCATAGCACAAGAGACGTGACGGCTCTCGCTGTATTTTCCTCATATCCCTGATCTGCTGAACCAACCTCACTGCTCATTCTTGGCTTTCAAGGTGGTTTCTCTGACTGGGAACAAGAAACAGCAGCTTCTGACCTGCCTCTCTGTCTTACCAAAGACAACTCCTTGCGCTTCTGGGGCACTGGCGCCATCTACGGGACGGCCAAGGAATCAGCCAACCCAGTACCTTGTACCCGTCGCCACTCTTTGTCCCCACTGGAATTGCACATGTAATGGGAATAATACTAGTAATAATTAATAATCGTGGTTAACACTGATTGAGAACTGTGGAAGGTGTTTGCAAGCACTCCTTCACTCAGTCCTACAACAACCACAAGAGGGAGAGAGGACTGTTGCCCCTGTTTTACAAGTAAAGATGAAGTTTTAGAGAGGACAGACAAGTCATCTGCCAAGGTGAAGAGCTAATTACTAGCAGTCTTCACGTGCGCATGTATATCCTCTTTAACCTCCTGATTCATCCTCCCTTTTGCTTTTCTCATTCTTGCCAGGTTACAAGAAATAAAAATTCTCTCCCTCTTTTTCTTCCTCCATTGCATCTGTGAATCAAACTAAAACCCTAGTTAGGAAAGGGAAGTATAAAAATGTTGCTGACATCAGCATGGAGGAAAAGGAAAGCCTCAGTGGCCTCAACCACTGAGTTCTTGAAAATCCACCATAGAGTGTCCTTCAGAATTTATACATTATTTCTCATTCACTTGTCTTCTCATTAAACTTACTTTGCCTCAACTGCTAATATTCAGAATAGTGAAACAGCATTTAAATTTCAATTTTAAATACTTATTTTAATTATAAGTAGTGTAATACTGACTATAAATAAAATGTTAATTTTCTACTACTTTAAGATTACAAATGTATACTGTGGGTATGCTAGATTCTGGGCCAACCGGGTGTTTGTGGGCTTTCCCCAAACATCCTTTCCATGAACGATGTTCCGAACTTAGATATGCTCAGAGAATCCTTTCTTTCTGAGTTAATGACTACTTAGAATGGCCACACGATGCACAAGAAATAAACAGTTAACTGATTGTTGACCCTGCAGAGAAAGGAAAACCTATTCTATGGTAACTAAGAGCTAAAAGTATTGGTAATGCTGGTAATGCCAACATGCTTTGAGCACCTACTGAGTACCAAGCAAACTGTTGGTGCTTTCACATGGAAGCTGAAAGAATAAAATGATGGGTTTTGTTTTCTTTTTGGAATGTATTTAAAGCATTCTATGGTTTTGTGACAATTCAACCCAAAGCTTTTAGACTATGAATTTTTCTGAGTTTTGAGTTTCATGAAGGCAGGCAAGCACTTGCACTTCGGGTTAATTCTGTGAGAATGGTCTTTAAGGAATTTGTGCACTAGCACCCTGGTATGGAGAAATGGGTGGGGTCCCTTTCACCTGTTAATCTAGATGTTGGGGCAGCTCTGGCCCAGCCCCAAGGAGGGGGAGGTCTTCAGCAGTGTGGGCTGGAGGTTCCTTCTTGCCCTGTAGTTCTCATGGTCTTCTGGCCAGTTCTAGGGCCCCCGACGGGTTAGGCCTACTCTCAGGTAAGGTTAGGTCTGCTCAAAGACCTGTCTTTCCTTCTGGAGCCCATTTTCTGAATTCTATATTGCCAGGGATCCCCTTGGACCTACATCACATTCTGAATCTGAAGCTGATGCTCATGGTCTCCAAGCCTGGTCTTTCACCAAGTACAATGAAGCATTGTATTGCTGCTTCCTTCACAGGACCCAGAGACAGGCAGGGGCCCCTGACTTTATGTGGGTGACTGTCTCATCGACTGTGCAGATGGCTGACGGGAGCCTTCTGGAGAGCACGACTCCATCTCCTGCCATGCTGTTTCACAGCTGTCTCGCTTCACCCCTGAATATAAAAAGACTGATCTCACGGGAGCCCTTATCCAGTAAATCACCAAGTGTGCCTTCCTTCTGTTGTACAGACTGATGCCTTGACTTACCCCTACCACCCCAGAAACAGGACAAATCTCAGAATGAGTTTGCTAGGGAGGGGTCCGAGTTCCTTCTTTGTACTGGCAAACTAAGGTTGTTGCAATGTGATCTGACTTACTCAGTGTCAACTGATAAGGACCAGCACTGAAATTAGAGGAGGTAATGAGGGTACCACCCACTCATTTCTTGCAGCTCGGAGAGGGTCAAGTCCAGCCTTGGGACGAGGCCCAGTCTGGTCATGGCAGGGCCAGCCAGGATGTGCAGATATCTCTTATGCTCAGCCTCTTCATGCATCCCTATGTCCTCCTAACCCGAACTAAAATCTGGCGCTCTCTTGAGCACACTTTTCTCCCTGCACACAACTGGGGATGGGACTATTTATTCTTTCACACCCCAAGAACCTCGAGGTTGAGAGGCTGAAGTGCTATCTCACATTACCCTCTGTTATGGGCTGAATTGTGCTGAATTGTGCCCCCAATCCCTATGTTGAAGTCTCAGCCCCACTACTTCAGAATGGAACTGCATTTGGAGACAGGATCTTTAAAGAGGTGAAATGAGGCCCTCACGGTGGGCCCTCATCCAGTTCCCTATGAGGAGGAGGAAATCAGGACACAGAGGTGTACAGGAGGACCATGTGAGGACGAGGGAGGAGATGGCCATCTACAAGCCAGGCGGAGTAGCCTTAGAAGAAACCAATGCTGCCAAACACCTTGATCTTGGTGTTTGGTCTCGGTCTTCTAGAAATGTAAGAAAATAAAGTTCTGCTGTTTAAGCCAGTCAGGCCCTCGGTGTGCTTTGTTTCCTCAGCCTCTTCAAACCCACACTCCTCCCATCCTGCCACCACCTCTCCCCGTCCACCACTGAGGCCTGTCTCCACTGTGCCCCATTCCCTGCCCACCGGGGGAGGCTCCGGCTGCCAGGAGCTCCGGCTTCTCAGCTACTTCTCGTCCTGGTGGCCTGTTGTCACTTCTAGCCACCCACTCGCGACCAACCGCAACCGCTCCACTTCCCCACACTGCAAATTCAAGCATCGCATCTCCCGGCCGCACCTTCGCCCCTCTGGCTCTTTCGGCGGTTCCTAAAATCACCAGTCTTTGAGGGGATCAGCCCGTTCAGCCCTTCTGGCCCCTCCTTCTTCGCCTCCTTTCCCTCTCACAGCTAGGCCTCCCATAGCCATCCTCCTGGATTCTGACCACTCTACTGCCACTGTCCTTAGTCTCTCAGTTTGTCTTCTCCTCTTAGCAGCCTGGCAAAGCTCCAACCGGGGTGACCCCAACTAACCGTCAGTTCTCTCCAGGCCCTCACCTGGGGGTCCGGTTACCCTCCCCACTATTCATGCCCAAACTCCGTGCTCCGCAGCTATCCCCTAAGGCTCTGGTGAGTTCGCTCTGCCGCCTCCTACCCCGACTACCCAGGCTTTCCTACGCTTCTTCAGCCACCAACCACCTGGCTCTCAACAAAAGAAGACAGGAGCTGCCTGAAGAACATCCTCGACTTCCCTCATCCAGCCAGCATGCCTGCTGACACCCATGTACTTCCCCCCCGCCCCATAACAATGGCCTCACAATCCAGGCCCCTCCCGGCGTCTCAGGGAACTTCTGGATCCTTCTCTTCAATCCCTCGCTCACCACACACACTTCCTGCCAGCATGTTGAACTGTTCCAGTCTCTTTATATCAGAAGAGCCCCCTTGGGCCCCTCTAGTCACTCCTATTTCTCTCTCCCCTCCCCTCAGTCCTGCAACCTGCTGGGGCTTCCCCCCAAACAGCTCTTGGGCCACCCACAACTTTCACATCGCTGACCTTGATGGGCACTTGGCCTCCCAGCCCCTCTGACTTGATGGAGCAGCAGGTAGGTGTTTGTTAAATCAACTCTAACCAGCCATCCGTTGCTCGGGAATCCCTCCGTGATTTCCACTGCTCTTAGGATGAAGACCCAAATCTTTAACACGGGGCCCTGCCTGGCTCACCCCGAGGCCTCTTCTCCCCCCTGGAACCCCAGCTCCCACCCTGTGCCGCCCATGCTGGGAGTCCCCACGCAGGCAGCGCCCTTCCTGCCCTTGCCGGCCTTGTCCCTGGTTCCCTGTTGCTCCTCCTTCGGCGGTCCTTCCTTAGGGGTGCCCTGCCCTGCCCCGATGGCAGCCTACTTTCCCTGATAACAGCCGGCTTCTTTGGGGGGTCACCTGTTTGGTGCCTTTCCCTCACCTATAGGCTGGAAGCCCCCGCTGCTCTGCCCCACACTGTACCCCCATGTGGCACAGCACACAGTCTGCTGAATGGATGGATGACCGAAGGAACAAGCCCGGATCCCGACCAGACAGAGGCCACTCCAGAATGGTTCTGGGAGTGAGCTTTGGCACTGAGTGGCTTTGCTTCATAAATGCTGCCATTCTGAGCACTCCCTTTATGCACAGGTCCCAGGGGCCGGTTCATCCTGCCTCGCGCTCTCCCACGCTCCACCATTCCCTCCTTTTTGGTGTAAAGCGGTGTGGCCCCGGGCTGCCCAATCTGGCTGCCACCTTTTTTCAGCCTATAACGACAGAACTACTATATGGCCGCAAAGCCTAAAATATTTACTATCTGGGACTTTAAAGAAAACGTTTGCTGACCCCTGGTAAAAAGCATCGAGTAAGACACCTACTGTGTACTGTGGGGAAAATCGAGTAGGTGTGTCATGGTGACAAAGGGGTGGTTCAGGGTTTCAATTGGAGTGATTCTCTTATCAGCATCTATGGTCAGCATCTTCTTTAACAGGTCGATGAACTCCCGCCGGTCTGCCTTCTCCACTAACATGTCACTCCCTTCCAAATCTGTTGTCATGTTCACCTGGAGGGAAATCGGGACAGGTTACCAAAACCCCAGTGTGCCCCACCTCCCCCTACTTCCCTTATTCTCTGCTCCTGCTTCCATCAGTTAAGCTGAAATGTACCTCCTATCATACCTCATTGAAAATAAGCACAAGATGGAAGGACTTCTGGACATTGGTTGCATAACAATGTGAATGTATTTGATACTACTGAATTAGATACTTCAAAATGGTCAAAACGGTCAGTTTTATGCTATGCATATTTTATCACAATTGAAAAACAGTAACTACAAGCAAGTAGTAAAAAATGAAATGCAAAAAAGGGTTATTTAACCTGCAGAAGCTGATGTGACCTCTTCTTCCGTCTATAATGTTTGTGTCCTCTGGCAATGCACTGAGTTAGGGCCAGAATTAATTTAGGCCCCGTATTCACGGGGCTTACCTCTGGCCAAGACGAGTAGGATATCTGAGCATAGGATTTTTCTTCCAAGAGCAAGCTTAAGACAGCTTTTGAAAGACTTGTTTTGCGGTGCTTTCTATTATTTTCCAAGGCAAGCTCCGGAAAGCAATTTCAGTTTTCTCAGACAATCTAAGCTTCTAATCAACCGACAAGTATCCTTTACTCAGAGTCATGATTTTTGGTTACACTCATCTTCAGTAAGAAGTGTGCTGAGTGTTTATTGGTCTATAGCTTTACTTCTCATTGATTTTAAGAAAAACTCTCTTTGGGTTGTCCTGATTTTAGACTCGTCTTTACACTAAAAATAGCTAAAGTTCTAGAATTTTCTCTGGGCACAAAGGTGAGAGCCTGTAGTCCCACCAGTGAGCTGAGAGAGACTGACTAAAGTGGGTTGAGTTGTGTGGCGGCAAAAGGTATGTTTAAGTCCTAATGCTCAGTACCTGTGAATGTGACCTTATTTGGAAACAGGGTCTATGCAGATGTCAACCAAGTTGAAATGAGGTCAAAAGGGAGTAGGGTGGGTACCAAACCAATGACTGGTGTCTTTATAAGGAAATAAGAGGGAGGTCTGGGTGCACAGGCAAGAGGAAACCCAGGAATAAAGGCCGAATGAAGAAGGATGAAGAGGTCGGGGTGATGCAGCTACACATCAGGGAACACAGAGGACTGCCAGGGGCCAGCAGACATGAGGACTGAGGCATGGGACAGTTTCTTTCTAGAGCCTTTAGAGGCGGCATGGCCTTGATGGTACTTTAATGCCAAACTGCTAGCCTCTTGCACTGTGAGAGAATAAATGTTTGCTGTCTTAAGCCACCCAGTTTGTAGTACCTTGTTTCAGCAGCCTGAGGGAATTAATACACTGACTCATGGGCATGAGACTCAAATGTGCTAATGAGCTTGAATTCCTCTCATGAAAACATCACTAAGATTGGCCAGTGCTTTTTTTTTTTTTTTTTTTTTACAAATGGGAACCAATAAACTGAAGCTATTTTTAAAGAGCTGGTGTAAGGTTTTGAAAATGTTTCACCAACCCAATGGTATTCTTACTAGGAGTGGCATATCACTGTTCAAGGTCAAGGTCAACCACTGCAGTTGAGTAACGTGAATTTCTACCCGCCATCTTATACTACGCAGAGGTCTTGCTGTGCTTGGTTTGTAAAGGGCTAACAACATTGCATACTCACCCATGGGGCTTACCTGGGCCATGTCATCTAAACAGTTGAAAATGTACTTTCTTGCTTCTTTTGACTTAATCCCCGTCTCTGCTTCATGGTCATCTGGTGTCTGGTCAAAAGAGGCAAAAGCTGATTGACTGGTCTTGTGAATTCTTTCGTCACTGTGACTCCAACCCTGGAGCTTCTGCTTCTCATGGAGGGTCTTTTTCCCATCTTTCAGAGGACACTCTTCTTAAAGTGACCTGCTCATCCACCACACTAACTCATCTCTCTTCTTTCCTTCCCACAAACACCCTTTGGGGGCCTACTCTGAATCAGACCCAGAGGGTTCCAATAAGAATATGCCACATCCCTGAGAACCCTTCATTCTCCCCCGAGTTTAAGGGATAAGGTGAGACTCCGCATGTGGAGAAGCAGAGGCCCTTTTCCACATGGTTTTATAAATTTAAATTTTATTTCTCAAACTCTCATCTAGAGGCTCTCACTGCCTGCCAGGCACTGTTCTAAAGCCCATGAGCTCATTCAGTATTCTTCACAACCATCCTAGGTAGGACGATGACCAACCCGTGTTCTAGAGGGAGAAAGAGGAATGGCAAGCTTAAGGAGTCTGCCAAGGCAGCATGGCCAGGAAGCGGCAGCTGGCCCCAGAGTCCTCCTGGGGCTGGGCCACACACATATGGTGCCTGCACCGGCCTTGGTCTAGGAAGCTGCTGTCTCCAATTACTAGGGGTTTCTGGACTCATCCATGGATCACAGGTAATTGATCCTCAAAATCTCACTCAAGGATGTCACACCTGGAGCTGCTAGGATCCAAGCTCTGATCCCAGGAACAGCCAGACACGGAGGACTGAGGCTCCTCACTAAGACACAGAAGTGAACCCTGCCCCTGGTTGGCCTCACCCTTCTCCACCCCGGAACTCTTTTTCACTGGACCTGACCTTGAGCTTCTCACTCTCACAGTTGCCAAATGCCAGCCCTCTCATCAACAGCCTCAGAGTGCTTGCTTAGCTCTCAAATCTCTTTTCTAGATCTGCAACTACTGGCCACACTTTATCATTAAATCATATTAGAATTTGGCTGTGGTTTCTGTAAAAACACACACACACACACACACACAAAACCAACAAACAAAAAACCCCACCTACTCTCTTGCAAAAAAAGAAACACCTAAAATGAACATAAAACATACTTAAGACTTGCATTATTTTTTCCTTCCCAGGAAAGCACATTAATTTTAATTACTAGGCACAGATCAAAGTGAAAGCAAAATATGTTTCTGTTAAAGTAAAACCACCCAAGAGTTTATGGTGTGCAATGGCGCGCTTTACCACCTGCCGGCTCGGACAGACAGACCCCTCCTTAGAGCCTTAGGATGCCATGCTGCTGAGGCTGTTTCCTCTGCCTGGAAGACCCTCTTCATCTTTTTGGGCCCAGCTCAAATGCTCCTCCCTGACCCTCTGCCCCAGGCAGTATTCAAGGATCCCTCCTCTTGGCCCCACACTCTGCTCCTACCAGGGACAGGGCACTTGTGACAGTGGGGGTGTGGGGGGTGCGGGCTTGGTCTTGCCACATGCGTCCAGGTTCCCTTTGGATTGGGAGCTCCTCGAGGGTAGGGGGTGGTTCATTTCTGTCTCCAGCACAAACCCAACAAGTCATCATGGTTTACTGGGATTATATCCCAGGAGTTTAGCCCCCAGAAGTTGGGATTTGAGCTTCGCAGGCAGCAAGCCAAGCAAAGTGGTGCTTTTGAACATCCAAATTCATCCATCCCATATATCAACAATGGTCACCCCCTCTCCCATGCTGCTGGCTGAATCAAAGTGAAATCCAGGATCCACGTGCCGATGGTAAAATCTCCCCCACTAAGTGGACGGTGCCCTTCTTCCCTGAGTGTCGGGCACTGGGGAGGAGTGGAGGGGCCGCTCTTCCTACCTTCAGCCTCCACAAAGGATACGGCGAGTCTGTGTCACGGTTGAAAAACCTAGTTGTCTTTGTCCCCGCGCTTAATAAATATTCAGCTGGCAAACCCTGTGTTTGTGAAATATACCGAATCTGCAAGAAAAGATGAGAAGGAGGTCAGGCCGTTTCCTGTCGTACTTACGGTGTACTCATGGCTCTAGTGCCTTTGACAAAAATGACAATTTTATAGGGAAAGAAAGAAGTAATAGAAGAAAAAGGGGCAAGAAAGAGGAATAAAGAAAGAAAAGCACTGTTATGGGAAGCAAGGTTTGGGAGACAAGGAAATACCCTATAACCCCACCCATGTGTCATGTTATAAAGGAAGTGCTTCTTATGAACGCCTGAGCTGCCTGGACCCACCTGATCATACTCGGAAGCTCCGGGATAGAGCGGCCAGCCCAGGAACAGCTCCGCAATGACACAGCCCAGGGACCACATATCAATTGCCTCACAAAATGGTAAACCAAGGATGATCTCAGGGGCCCTGAAAAGGAAGAATGGGAGAGAAATCATTAGCGATTTGGAAGTGCAGGCAGCTATTTCTGTATGAACTCTACATAAAATCCTATCTTTCAAACCCGGGGTGCCATGACTGCCTCCCTCTAAAGGACCTGTGGTTCTTGCACTGCATGGCAGTGATCCCTCCATTCTTGGGCTTGGTCCTCCCCCGTAAGCAGGCAGTGTGGTCAGATGGCCGGCTGAGATGAAGGGTAGGTCTACAATAGACCTACAGGGAGCCCCATCCATTGACTTCATTACCATTATACTCTAACCAAATGAGCTAGTAACCGCTTTAGAGAGACTCAGGAGTTATCTTTTGTAATTGAAAACCCAGGAAACCGATCTTTAGAGAATGCCTGGTTTTTTACAAAGGAATTCTGAAATACAGGTCCTCTACTTTCAGTAATATAGAAAACAAGCTGCCTCTACCCCAGAATAAGGGGATTCAATCCAAAATCCGTTAATGCCAATGATCCGTCTTCTTAGGAGTCTGAATCACACTTTTGTAAGGAAATACTATTTTTTTGTTTGTTTGTTTTATCATCAGCTTCTAAAAACTTAGTCTCCTAAAAAGTCCCCTAATATAATTATAGAACCCTGTTCCTGAATCCATAGTCTGGGTACCAGTCAGAACTCCATTATAAACCCGTTCCTGACTGTAGGATTATGTCCCTTCACGTGATAGACAAGATTACGTGCCGGAGCTTCCGAAGGAAACCACCTAAATTCAAAGGGAAATTTTCACATGTAGTTAGTAACGAAAACCAAGGACACCACAGAGTGCATTTTCTTTTCTAAGAATGTGTCATGATTAAGTAGGGGTACATTTTGGAGAAAACCTGGTTCAAAGTATGAGATATGAACACAGCTTAAAAAAATGTGGCTCAAGGCGCTCTGCTGATAATGAAATGCATTAGCCCAGCCTCTGTTTTCTCTGCAAATTTCCCACTTGATTAAGCAATGCCAGAAGACGCCACTCTCCTACCCTTTCAGGAGCCTGGAGTGGGAGCAGTGGGAGCTGGGGAGACGACTCCGTCTGGGTTATTTTCACCCAGCTAACACGGGAGGAGGGAGCAAGAGTGTGGTCAGAACACCTCCCCTTGTCTCGGAGCTTCAAGCTGAATGCTCCCCACTTAGAAAGCATCTCCCCACTTTTTTCTTTTAAATTTGCTCTCATTGGCTCATCTTTTGTCTCCAGATCATAGCATTGAAAAAAACCAAGATGTTTTGTTACACAGTCTTGATTTTTCAGAAGTAAAGAGTTTCCTCATTTCCTCAGAGCTGGGGATTCGGCACCTCCGCCAGGTGCTTGCTTCTAGAGCGCCACAGTCCTCAGTCTGGGCTCCAAACACGCTTTTGCCAGAGTCCAAGGCCGGGTGGGTCTTCCCAGGCTTGGTAGGAGGGAGTTACTGTGTGTGTGTGTGTGGGGGGGTGCAAGCTGCCACTGATACTACTTAATGGGTCTTCCCCATCCCCTCACTGCTGGCAACTTCGGCTGCCAGGGTTCTGCCTGGCTCCTCACCCTCGCACAGGTCTTTGTGTCCTCCAGTCCCGGGTGCTGACGGCTAGGTTGAACGTGGAAGGATGCTCTTGCCCTCTGGCGCTGGTGCGCTGGGGAGGTCTGTGCTTGCCTTAGGATACATCCCTGCCAGACTGGCCTGTGTCATGGGGCCTTCCGTCCCACACCTGGCCGAGGTCACTGTGTCCAGGGTTGCCCCCACACACGTGGGCTTCCAGAGTCCCCTGGAAGTCACCTGCCAGTCATCTCAGTCGCAGTGCTAGACGGTGTACATGGATGAAATGACTGCGGGTTGCCTCTAGCAATGCAATCTCTCTTATTCCCTATGTGTCAGAACCTGCCTTCCTTTCTGCCCTCTCTGTTCTAGAGTGTTCTAGAGAGTCTCCTCTCACATGCAGACTCAGGCCTCTCCTTGGGGAACGAGTGCCTGTCCTGGTTCCTGCTCCCCTCTGGCAGGCTACTGCTGCCGGATCAAGCCTCTCCACACCTCTGTCTCCCTACTCCTGTGACCTGGGCTTTTGCCCCTCGTAGTCTCCACGTCGGGTCTTGGGAACATACTGGGCTGGTCTCATGGGGGCATCTCTGGACTTGGCCATGGGGCCGACCTTCCTAACAGATTAATCACCGGTTCTCACGCCCCGAAGCAGGCCGGAAACCCATTTCTCAGGTTCTGTTCCCTGAGGATGTGCAAGGTGAATCCAAGACACAAGACGGGAGCGAAGGGCACTTCAGTGATGTTCTCTGGCAAGAAACACCAGATGTGGGTTTCGTCAACTGACGTTACCTGAACAGGGTCTGTGAAGACGGCTCTCAGTCCATTTCCTACTAGAAGAGGAAGGGGCAGCCATTCACGGCACCACGGTGTGCACAGCAGAACACGTTTCTTGCTGTGACCACGATGAACGAATGCTCAAGCATCAGGCTAGATGCTTGCAGGACAAAAGAAATAGAAGGCCCGGGCCTGTCCCCGATGGGCTAGCCCACGTGACAAGGAAGGCTGAACACTACTGGTGTGCAACGCAAACACGCAGACACGAAAGCAGAGCTAATTCAAGCGTACAAACACGCTCCACATTCTCCCATTTCAAAAACTAAAATACAGCACAAGAACAAAGCAAACCAAACACGAAACCAAACCCTTCCTCCGTCCGTTCACAACCCTGCAGCTGTGGCCCCATTTCTCTGCCCCTCTCCCCCCAGATCTCCAGGGTGGTCTCCTGCAGCATCTCCGCTTCACCCCCCATCTTCTTGCCCTCCTCCGGCTGACTTCCATCCTCTGCTTCACTCAAGGGCGCCGTTGTCACGTCAACTGGTCAACTTCTCAGCTCCGTGACCCGAGAGGCGCATGTCTTTCCCACCGGTGACCATCCCGTCCCATGCCCGTCCTGAAACATGCAGTCGGGGTTTTCACGATGCCACACACTCCTGCCTCTCCATTTCTTTTGTGGGCTTGTCCTCCTCTGGCCACCTGCTCTGTGATGGCGAAGCCCCAAGGACCCCTTGTCTTCTCTCTCTGCACCCTTGTTCTAGGTTAACGGTTAGGGACTGAATTGTGTCAACTCCCGAAACAGACATGTTGGAGTCCTAATCCCCGACACCTGAAGAAGTGACACTATTTGGGGATGGGCTTGCTGCAGAGGTGGTTAGTGAGGATTGTGTCACGTTGGAGTAGGGTGAGCCCTGAAGCCAGCAGGACGGTTGTCCTTAGAAGAGGGAAATTGGGACACAGACGTGGAGGGAAGATGGCCACGTGGGGATGGAGGCAGAGGCTGCAGTGAGGTCGCCAGCAGCCAAGGGGTGCCCGGGGCCGCCAGAAGCTGGGAGAGGCCCGGAAGGAGCCTCCCCGACTGGCTTCAGAAGGAGCATGTCCCTGCCGACACCTCGATTTTAGACTTCCAGCCGCCAGGCCCATGAGAGAGTAAATAGCTATTGTTCCAAGTCCTGCGTTCTGTGGGGACTGTCTCTGCCACCCTAGGAAGCTGACAGCAACTACATCCACTGCCACAGGTCTGGACTCCATTCATTCTTCCAAACGTCCATCTCCACGCTGGACCCTTCTCAGCTCCAGAGGTACATCCTGATGGCCCAGCGCCTCCCTGGGAATGACTCACAGTCGCCTCAAACTTAGTCTGGTTACAAGGGAACTCTTCCCCTTGGCCTCCCCTCCCCAACGCGTCCCTCCCTCCATCCCTCCCTCTGTGGGGCTGTCTCACTGAAGGGACTCACGGCCCCTCCGGCCCGCTCTCATGCTGGAAACCCGGGACGCTCTCTGGTTCCCACCTCTACCTTGGTCCTCCCCACCAATCCATCCCTGTCGCCGCTCGCAAGGATCTCTCAGACCGGCCCCCGATTCTCCATGTCCGCTGCCACCACACCGGCCCTGGCCACCTGGAGCCCCCTCTCGGGTCTTTCCTTCCCCCATGGAGGCCGCTCTCTGCACAGCTTCTGGAGCAGACAGGCCACCTCTCCCTTTGCTCTCAGGCCCACAGAGGCTCCCTGCTGCACTAAAATCCCTCCATGGCCCACGGGACCTTGGTGATCATGACCCTGCCCTGCTCACCACTGTCCTTTCAATTTCAATTTCTAGAGGACCGCAGCTCCTGGACCTAGAGCCTCCGTGCAACATGGTGCTTCTGCCTCGAACGCTCCCTCCACTGGCACTCAGACGGCTGCCTCCTTCTCATCCTTCAAACCTCAGCTTAATTGTCATGGCCACAGACGGGCCTCCCTTGACACCAGTTAGTCTCCATCCCCGGTGCCATAAATGTCACTTTATAGCACCTTCCCCAATAACCTGCTTACCGTCTGTCTCCCCCTGCTCCGTCCACAGGGCAGCACAGTACCTGGCATTTAGTAGCCACTCAATCAATAAGGATTTGTTGATTGAATAAACCTTTATTAAATACAAGAAAGCGCTACAATATGTGATTCACACGGAAAGTTCTAAGGCAGCACAAACAAAGAGGACAGCAGAAGGGGTAAATCTTCGCGAGGGAATGGAAGCTGGGCATGAGGGGCAGGCTCTCGCCCGAGGAAGAGCACGCTCCGTGTGGGCAGGAACCCCGGGAGTGGGGGCCCGGGGGACACCGGCCTGCAGGCGGCTCACCAACCGATTCCGGCAAAAAGGCCAGAGAGAGTGGCGGGGGCTTGCAGGGCTCCAGGGCCCCGAGGGGTCTGAAAAGGCCTCACAGCTCAGGTCTCCAGAGCCCGTCTCTTCCTAACTCTCTTAAAGCCAGCGCCGCCCTCGGCTCCCAGGGAGACCAGCTCCCTTGTGCCTCCTCGATCCAGGCCTCTAGCCTTTGCTTTGTCTTTTCCAGTCCACCCCCAAACTCTCCCTCAGTCCTTTTCCAGCACACACGATACCCTGATCACATCTCTGCAACAGCCCGGCCCCTCCCGCCTCCCTCCTCCTCAAACACACGCTGCCCACCTTCTCCGTGCTGGCCACACCAGGGGATGAATAC